CCAATACAGTAAAACTGCACATTTTAGAGTGGCCTTTTATTGTGGCCAGCCTAAGGCACACCTGTGCAATAATCATGCTGTCTAATCAGCATCTTGATAGGCCACACCTGTGAGGTGGATGGATTATCTCGGCAAAGGAGAAGTGTTCACTAACACAGATTTAGACAGATTTGTGAACAATTTTTGAGAGAAATAGGCATTTTGTGTACATAGAAAAAGTCTTAGATCTTTGAGTTCAGCTCATGAAAAATGGGGGCAAAAACAAAAGTGTTGTCATTTATAATTTTGTTCAGTGTGTATATATATATATTCGTCCAAAATAAAAGTTTTTGTGAACATAATATATGTGTGTGTACTGTGTATATATATATATATATATATATAGGATATAATTAAACATTTATGAAAATGTGTTTTTCCTACCTTGAAGATCCACATGAGATTGTCTTTGAAATTCTTTTGGTTCCTGTGAGTCTGAAAGTCTGAATCTAATGTCTCGTATTGAACCCTGTTAAGAAATGAAATGCTGAATTTACAGGCAAAATATTAGAGATATCTCCATGCATCTTTTTAACCATGAAAAAAGGGCATTTGGTGTACAAGCTGAAAGCATTATTTAACAGAAATGTAAACTATATTTGCAATAATTTATCATGATATAATGTATCATTAAATCATTTTGTAAGTATTTATAAACCTGTTGTCAACTAAACACAGAAATGTAAATGTCTCCCAGTAGTCCCCCCCCAAAAAAGCGTATGGGTTTGACACTTAGAAATAATTAAATTAATAATGAAGTATTATAATTTTACTAAAGTGGAAATCATTAAAATTATAAAATGTATTTATTTATTATTTTGGTAAATTTTACACAGAGATGCAAACCAAAAACACTGCTGAAAACTTTTTTTTTATTATTTTTTATTTATTTATACAGTTTAGCACATTCACAAATCCTTTCATTACAATAAATAAATAAATAAATAATCAGATTAAGAGATTCATTGTGCAGTGTTGTCGGCTTCATTGATTATAATGGGAGTTTTCACTCCGTCAGTCAGTGAAGTTGCAGCACTGAGCTTCATTGATTATAATGGGAGCGCTCTTTGCTTGCTTTTATATATAATATCAATGTGTGTCATGCTGCTAACTGCACATTTCAAGGTTTCTGAATTGACAAACTTATTTAAATATGGGATTGAATCCAAAACTGCAATGATTGACAGTGATAATCACAGCAATGGACAGAACAAAAACCTGATATTGTATAGATCTGTGCATCTTGGAATGTAAATGCAAACTAATAGATCTGCCACTTGTTCTATGTAATGTGTTACTTCTTATAGTAAGACTGCACTTCTTGTATATTTCAGTGATAGCAATTGAATAATAGTTCAATAATAAAAAAAATTTAATTTGAATTGTATCGCATTTTATGAGTGCGCAGCACTGAGAAGTGCTGTTTATGATGTTTATATATTTATGCTTGAACACAAGCAACACATTTGCTCCTGCAGAAATTCATGCCGTGTTCAATAATTCAGTTATCCACTTATTTGTCACCTAAGCTATCAATTTCATATTGATAACGAGGTATTCGATTCTGGGATCATAATGAAGCCAAAATTTTGGTATTGAGCCAACCCTAATCAGCAAAATATGGTAAAACCATGTTTCCAATGCAGTAACAACAAACTATCAATAAAACACAATACATCTCAAGCATGTCTTTTAATAAACATTAGATTAGATTTGAACATATTGTTAATGAATTGTTATTGATTCTCAACTTCAAAATCACGATTCAAAGTCTACATTTAATGTATTGTTCAATGTACACTTTAAATCCATTTGTGAAAGTGCTTGTGTTTTGAATTTCTCTTTTATTAAAATATTTGTTTTAAATTTTTCAGCACATTGTTTATTTCCAGACTTGAATTTGATTTTGAATTCCAGATTTTGATTTTGAATTGTCAACCTATTTTTGTCGATGTTTTTGGAGAAACACATGAAATATCTTCTAGTACATGCAGTTCTTCACTATTGAAGCTACTAATCCAGTACAACAAATAAAAACTAACTACTGTTCATTCTGACAGAGAAAATGCTCACGAGCCCTCTAGTGGCTGCCTGTGTAAGTATATTATTGGAAAGAAGCTTGCATCACATAAACAACAATTGAGAAATTAGCTAACAGAGCAATATAATGTAAAACACATGAAATACCTTTTGGTAGATGATGATGTTTCCTCACTTAAGTTTGGTGGATAATCAAGTGACCGGTCACTCTTCACAGACACAGAGCTGGAAAAATGTGAACCTGATCTTTCACTAACAAACCACAGAAAAAAAAATACTTCAGCCTCATTTGGAGAGATTGAATTAAATAAAATTCAGTATAGCTGTAGATTTCCATTTCTCACTACTATAGATAGTTGTATTTATGTTTGGGTGCCTGTTCTGTCTTTCCGTGGTGAATGTATGCCCCCTGGTGGCTTCCTGTGTAATTGTATTGTTGAAAAGACTGAGCTCACTAAAGAGTAAACCAACTCATTCTGTGATTTCCTGTTTTATCCAGTCAAGTTATCACATATACCTTAGTGGAGAAATTAGCTAACAAAGCAATGCAATGTAAAACGAACAGTCACTGTACAAAGACACAGAGCTGAACACATGTGAGTCTAATCTTACACTGATGACACGAAGAACAGAAAAAAAGAAAAATACTCGATCTATTGTTTTATTCCGTCAAGTTCCATCACATTTACCACAGTGAAGAAATTAGCTAATGCAATGCTCTAATGTAAAATACCTTTTAGTAGATGTTGCCTCACTGAATTCCGGTGGTTTATTTCTTGAATGGTCACTCTTCACAGACACAGAGCTGGACACATCTGAGCCTGATCTTACACTAATGACACAAAGAACAGAGAGGAAGAAAAAAAATTACATGAGACACGTAAGTTTTATTAGAAAAGATTGCATGTGATTAAATCCAGTATAGCCGTGATTTTGCCCTTCTCATAACTATATATGAATGTATTTATGTTTGGTTGCCTGGAGTTTTTCAATGGTGAATTTTTATCTAGTATTTATCTAATGTGTTTTTCGTGTCTACCTACGTAGCTCCAGACTGAGTTCAGTAAAGGATTACGGACACCATTTCTGTGATCTTTTGTTTTGGAATCTGGAATATCTAGCGGTGAAATGCCTTTCTGATTACAGTGGTTTACATACCACCACTGACTAATGTCAGGCCAGCACTGGAGAAGTTGCACAGCACTACTAATAGCCCGCTAAATGCAAATCCGGAGGGAGTTGTGGTCGTAGCAGGAGACTTCAATCATGTAGAACTGAAAGCAGTATTTCACAAGTTTTTCAAGTGCATAAATTTCCCGACCAGGGACAATAATATTCTGGATCAGGTCTATACTAACATCCCAGGGGCATATAATGCTGCAGTATCTCCACAATTTGGCATGTCAGAACACATCTCGCTGGAAATGACACCAGCATACAGACCTCTTATCTGCTGATCAAGACCAACTGACTGGGGAGTGTTTAACGAGAATGCGGATATAGAGGAATACACCTCGTCTGTCTTGGCCTATTTGCATTTCTGCACAAACTCTGTCTTGCCCACTAAATCCATCAATGTTTCCAAACCAGAAACCGTGGCTGGACAGTACAGTGCGGTCTTTGCTTAAAGCCCGGGATGTTGCCTATAGGTCAGGTGACCTGCTGGCATACAGAAGAGACCGGAGGGATCTGAAGGAAGGTATACAGGCCAGAAACATTGCTGGAGATTCCACCCACCCGGGTCAGACTTTTTGACCCCCTGCCCTCAGGGCAGAGGTACAGGACCATGAAAACACACACAAACAGAGCTGTGACTTCCATTACACCCCTTGCACTTACACCCTCCAGCTAATTACATCATTTGCACTTTTTGTTGCAACTGTTATGTATTGTTGGTAGCTATTCATTGTTGTTGTTGTTTTGTTTTTTTGTTTGTGACTGAGACTCACCAGACAGAATTGTGTTGTACTATGTACACTAACAATAAAGTAAATTGAATTGAATTTATTCAGCCAAGTTCTATTACATTTACCACAGTGAAGAAATTAGCTAATGCAATGCTCTAATGTAAAATACCTTTTAGTAGATGTTGCCTCACTGAATTCCGGTGGTTCATCTTTTGACCAGTCACTCTTCACAGACACAGAGCTGGACACATCTGAGCCTGATCTTACACTAATGACACAAAGAACAGAGAGAAAAAACACTTTATTACAGGAGATTCCTCTGTCTCAGTTGAAGAGTTTAGTTTAATTCAAATTATGTCTTGGTCTGAGATTTCATCCCAAAAACGGATCAGGTCAGCTACAATGGAATCTAAACTGGTAAACAGTCAAGTGAAGCACTGGTTCCTCACCCTGCACAATATCCATTTCACCATAAAACATATCTATTAGACGTTCAGCCAACAGTCCGTGGGCCTGACGTCTGAGGCTGTTTTCCAACTGTCATTTTTTGTAATTACTGTTGTTACATCACTCTGTCAAGTGTGTTTTTAAAATTATTTATTTATAGTCCCAAAACATCTACAGTCATGATGGAAGCACTTTGCATGTGCCATTGTCAAGCCCTGTTTGCCAGGCATATTTCTATATTCTAAGTGATAAAACTCCACATTATTTAAGTTTACTATGCACTAAATGTGCACACTGATGGACATTCAGCCGGTTGTTTCATTTTCAATACAACTGAGATGCAAGATGTCACGAGAGACAAGATGTGAAATGAGAGAGCGAGTTCTTGCTGTAATAGGAGAGACACAAAAAAGCGTCAGCTTGAAATACAATACGAGAGACATGAAAGAAGTGCTGGCTTGAAATACCTGGATCGGTCTGTTATACTCTGTTGCTATTGATGATGCAAATAGCTTTATAAGTTTTAAGCTATTTTTAACCTGCAATTATTTAAAAACAAACAAACAAAAAATTATAGGAAGTTCTAAATTGAACTTTAGCGCAGCAGACAATAAGTGAGAAAATCGTTACTGTTAAAAAGGTTGTTACAAAAAATCTATTAATTAATTCAACTTCAGTCGTGTTTAAAATGATTCTCTGAAAACAGACTCAGTCTTACCTCTGTTTCTCTGAGAGACTCATCTCAGACGGAGAGTCCTTTTCTCGCTTCTCTGACATACTGCAGCTGAACTGGCAATGCTAACATCAGCACTGGTGTCAGTGAAGACAATCAGCTTCTCAGCATGACCTGGAGATGATGATATCTTACTGAGATGAATAACATGATAGTTGATGATGAAAAATTGATAATGTTGAGTTAGCAACAAACAGGCTTTTCTTTTAGCAACAACCTTAATAGAAACAACCTTAATAGAACAAATATTGTGATTTCAACAGATTAACAAACATGCCTCCATCTCCTCACAACATAAAAATATGAATACAGCTGGAAACAAACATGTCAGCACTGTGTTCAAAACATATTTTCAGTATTGCAGTTTTCTTATCATTTACAACATATTTACTCTTTTCATTAATTTGTTGAATTACATTAATGTCCACAATCTATTTCATTAATCTATTATAAATAAATACATTCTGTTAGATTAATTAACTGGCTTTCATCTTCACACAACACATGGCACTAGATATAATGCAATGCAAAGAATAAATACTGTAAAGACTCAATGCATATTTATTACTTTCTCTATTGCAGTTTACATTATTTACGCACATTGCTAAACCTTTAATTTCCTGGATGTATTACAGTCCTTTTGTCATTTGATCATTACTTAAAGTTCACAATCTATTTTATTATTGTAAAATAGCCTA